CGAACAAATTCAAGTTGCAATCATTTAGACACATTTTAAATTGAAAATATCGGTTACATTGACGTTATTTAATTACTTCGATTTATTTCAAAGTTAAGAAATGAAAATAATGTTATTGTAATTTTATGCGGAAAAAGAATGCCTACTTCACTAAGATGTGATTCAAGCTGGAGTTGTAACACCCCCCCCCCCCCCTTCCCCTCAAAAGAGCATAAAAGAAAGGAAGGATAAAATAAAATCGGGTAGTTATAATAATATTGCTCCTACGATCATGAGCTTTTTGCCCCCGTTGAGATGGCCAGAGACATAAATAACATATAATAAATGTGTCTCCGAGATGGCGAATGATTACCCACTTGGCCACAATATCACATTTGTATGGATAAACTCAGAAAGATAATACAAATACGTGTAAATTTTCATTGGAAATTTGCTATATATTTTGTTCATATATATTTATGATTTCTTATTTCTTATTAGAGAAATTATAAAATAACAAATATATATCTACTTAGTACTTCTTTTGTCTTCTCTGATTTGAACACCGTGATTTAGCGTGAATGTAATGCGAGTGCGCAAGATTGTAAAATCCAAAAAAATCCAGATGATTTCCGGATTTTTTTGTGGAATTTTCGTTGATTATTAATTAGCGAAGGCTAATTGAGAAAAAATAAAAACAAATTGGTAATCTTCAAGTACCAATTATGTTTAAAATATATAAAACAAAATACAGTACTCTTCCGATTTATCGGTATTAAAGGCCAAAAATTCGAGTCTATTATTTTAATATAGTAGTATAGATTGATGAAGGAAGTGTGTAAACAGTATACAGACACGCATGTCCGCGGGAAATCATAGACAATGAGGTACGTTGTATTTTGATTACGATTTTGAATAAAAGTTAATATCTGTCATAACAGAGTAGATGGTTAATACTGGTTGTTTTCAAAGATAAGTATCTTTAAGCATTAAACGTAACTATGTCATCCATGTCAAAAATTATTTTGTATACCAAACGGCCTACCTCGTTTTCTTGACGCCATTTTTGTTTATCAATCTAAAAGTAGCGACAGTATCACATGATGCATGAATTTAGATAGAGGCATTACTTTCCTATTAGGATAATAAATAATTATAATTTGAGATCTTTATAATGCGTTCATTTCCAATTGTGTAATTTACGATAATTTCGTAACTTTATTTGTAAACAAAATAAATAAATTTCCAACTTTATTTTTAACTGACGCAAGTTATAGCGTGTATAGCTTTAAATGTTAAAAGGATTTTAAACTGTAATACAATAAAATAATTCTATGTTTTTTTGTCCTTATTTCTTTCCAAATATAGAGAATTTACACTTTAATACCTTCACTTGATTAAACATTAGGTATTGTTATGGACTTTATAAACAGTGACTAATAATAATTTTGATGTTTATTTTTGTACTTTAATGTTTATCGTTCTTTGTATATATGTCGCTTTATGTTGATTTTAATCACGTGATCTTTATCATATGTATATAAATCATGATTTGTATTGTTTTAGTCAGTCTGTTGGCTCGCTTGGTTCTGAATAAGAACATAGTTCCTGAATAAGGAAATTAGTGCCAAGAAAGTCCTGAATAAGGCAACGTTCCTGAATAAGGAAAGAAAACAACTATCAACCTGAATAAGGTTACTAAGTGCAGTGCATGTGCCATATTTTGATGAATGATAGACTTCCAATAAATTATATAAAAACTACTACATCTTTTATTTCCAAGAATTAAGAGAGCAAAACGAACCCCGTAACAGTATGCATGCGAGGTGGAGCTAACATTGTAAGAATGGGTCAAAAATTAGACTAGATAAATAACAATGATATGTTTTAAAATTTGAAAATTATATTGATAAGAAATTATATTGATAAGCTATCTCCGAAACTTAGAAAAATACTTTTATGATTTCGTACTGCAAATCATCATCTACTAGTAGAAACTGAAAGATGGTATGGTGTACCACTTTCGGACAGAATCTGTACACTCTGTAATAATTCTCAAATTGCTAACGAATTCCATTATAACCTAGAATGTAAAGCTTCAGATAATGAAAGAAAAAATACCTAGGCAATTATTATTCTTGCAGGTCAAATGTTGTTAAATTCATGGAACTAATGTCAACTAAAAACGAAAAAAACCCTGATAAAAACTACGTTTATTTTAAAAATTTATGATGCTGTCAGTCCTCCTTGATTTATTTCCTTCTCTCTATTTTCTTTTTAACATTTATACTTATTTTCTGTCATCTTTTTGTATTGTATACGTGTATGTACCTCTAACCAATTTGTATAAAATGTATATATGTTATTAATGTACCCCATATACCAATATTTTGGTTTGGGAGAATAAATTGAACTTGATCTTATCCAACACCTCAAGAGTCCCATGCTCGCAACCGAAAATTAAAGAAAAGCCGCAATCAACACTCGATATGAATTGTATTATTATTTGTACAAGTCTTTTACTATTCTTTAGGTTTACTGAATGCTTATCATGTCATTATGGTTATTGCGATAACTAAAGCAATAGTAAACAAGATGTGTTTGTGAAACACTGATGCCCCCGTATGGCAACTTATGGTCAAAGTTAAACTCTCTCAAATGCAAATCAAATATGTTGGTACCCATAGTAAGGTCTTGTCTCGAGGAATATACTTGTGAAATATGAAAGCCCAGCAGCAACCATTGAATATATACGGAAAAGGTTAAAGTTTTTCAAAAGTAAGTCCAACATGAAGGTCAAGGTCAAAATTAATGGTGCCCAAGGAAAGGCCTTCTCACAAGAAATACATATGTGAAGTATGAAAGCCCTAGCACCAACTGTTCAAAAGTTATGGCCGAGGTTAAAATTTTCCAGAAGTAGGTCAAACTCCAAGTTCAAGGTCAAAGGGTCAAAGTTGTTGGTATCCAAAGAAAGGTCTTCTCACAAGGATTACATATGTGAATTATGAAACACCTAGCACCAACTGTTCAAAAGTTTTGGCCAAGGTTAAAGTTTTCCAAAAGTAGGTCAAACTTCAAGGTCAAAGGGTCAAAGTTGTTGGTATCCAAAGAAAGGTCTTCTCACAAGGAATACACGTGAAATATGAAAGCCCAAGTACCAATTGTTCAAAAGTTATGGCCAAGGTTAAAGTTTTCCAAAAGTATCCAAAGAAAGGTCTTCACACAAGGATTACACATGTGAAGTCTGAAAGCCCAATAATAATAACACCTTTGACCCTTTAACCTTGACCTACGAGTTTGACCTACTTTTGAAAAACTTTAACATTGGCCACATCTTTTGAACGGTTGGTGCTAGGGCTTTCAATCTTCAGATATGTCATTCTTGTGACAAGACCTTCCTTTGGATACCAACAACTTTGACCCTTTGACCTCAACCTTGGAGTTTGACCTACTTTTGGAAAACTTTAACCTTGGCCATAACTTTTGAACAGTTGACGCTAGAGCTTTCATTCTTCACATGTGTTATCCTTGTTACAAGCCCTTTCTTTAGATACCAACAATTATAGCCTATTGACCTTGACCTTTGAGTTTGACCTACTTTTGGAAAACTTTAACCTTGGCTATTTCTTTTGAACATTTGGTTCTAGGACTTTCATACTTCACATATGCAATCCTTGTGACAAGACTCTCCTTTATATACCAACAATTATAGCCCATTGACCTTGACCTGGAGTTTGACTGACTTTTGAAAAACTTTAACCTTTTCCATATCTTTTCAATGTTCGCTGCTAGGGCTTTCATATTTCACAGGTATATTCCTCGGTACAAGACCTTACTTTGGGTACCAACATATTTGATTTGCATTTGAGAAAGTTTAACCTTCGCTATAAGTTGTCATACGGGGCATCAGTGTTTCACAAACACATCTTGTTTTTTTCTCTGTTAAACCATGAGCGCATGTTTGTCTATTAATCTCCTTTTGACATAAAAATTATTAAAGCAAATATACAACTACTGTTAAACGGAGAACAATAGACAAACATGCGCTGACTATGTATAAAGTCAGTGAAAAAGTGGGCATCATTATCATACGGAGATTCAAAAATTGTGATGACCCCCGCCTTTGAAAACAGCTTCGTACTTCGTAAATACATACTTTTATTTAATGTAATTACATAAAGTTGTAGATTAGACGTTGATCATTCCTGCAATTGAAAGAAAAATGTTTGTTTTGAAAGTTTATTTTGTCGCAATTTTTGCATGTCCTTAAGTGCAGTGATCCTTTATAGGAAATACCAGCTAAAAATAAAATTTTGTTAATTTTCCTTTAAAAAACAAACACAAGGATTTTCATCATTTGATACCTGTTCAAAACTCCTGGTAATGTATGCTGATTTTTTGTCTAAGAACATCTGATGATACTATGATTTTTAAACTAAGAATATCTTGGAAAATTATCAGTAAGAAAGGTATATTGCAGAGTACTTGTATAACATACTATTTTATTACGCACAAGTTTGAGATATTCACATCATAAATCAGACTCGGTTGATCCTTCATTAAGATCTAAATCAGCTGACTGCAATTAATTCTTGCATGGTGTATTTTGTCATACATTCCTCTATATAGTCAATATCCCAGTTTGATATTTTTTGAACTGCTGTAAAATTACAGAGAATGTCCAGAGTGTAGCAGTGAAAGTATGACAGATGTAGAGATGTGAACAATTTTCAGTCGGGATTCTTTAAGTTCAGTAGAATTGTTATCCTGGACAATACACTCGCCGTCATCATAAAATGATTGAATCAGCCCCTCACCAGTTAGTTTATGACCAGCATCCCTATTGTACAATCCTTATTGTCACTCACAGATATCCCCCCACGAGTATCCCCTTATCTACAATGTCACCTCAAGTACGTATAAAATCATTTCCGCGATTGTCCTTAGTCCTTCTGTAAATTAGCCCTCATAAACAGGATTACACTCCACCATCACAGTCGGCAGTGGACATACAAATAAACATGGTAATCGACCAAGGTAATTAGGCCCTGTGTTGTAGTGCACAGTTTATAACTCGTAGTCATAATATAAAGATATCTATTTTAAATATCACCCAGGGTTTCAATGAGTGAAATGATTGCGTCTTGATGTAAAGATTATTTATCACAAAATTCAGACTGAGTGAGAGGATAGAGTTTTGATCTGTAGATGGTGTCTGCGAGACAAAAGAGATGGGACAAAATGAGAGTCAGTTTTCTGACGAGGACGAGGGTGAGTAGTATGTTAAAGTGTGGGAAAAAATACGCGGTAAAGTTTGAATCAGTTTAATTCTTCCAGAAAAAAATTCTG